TTTGAACCCGTGGTTCATGCGCGCATGATAGAGCGCCATTTCCCGCTACGCCACCTCTGCCACAGTTCCCTTCATGACTGTAACAAACTGATGAACTATTAGCACAAATGTGGACTGCTTTCTCACGATGTTTGTATATGTATATCATGCGTGCTGTGTTGCTCATACTACCGCATAAGTATCACAACTGGAAAGGATACGAGTGAAAAATAATCGCTAGAGCGTTACGCTGCCATCACAAACCACAAAATCATTTTTAACCGTTGCTTGTAAACAATTTATGACGACCGGTACATTCACCAGGGTACAATCTAGTAGGCGTGTATATGAAAGATCCTTTATTAAGGAGATTAGCCTCCATGCAAAAGTGAGGCCTTCGAGCATGTTGTCTCCTTCATAGCTGTATTAAAGTCATTTTAAGTTGGAGAGCAATCTATCATCTAGATCAGGTAGCACTGATCAGAAACAGAAGAGAATCCGTCGAAATTTCGCATCATACCAGAAATATTTTCCTGGATTCTCTAGGAGCTTCCATAGAGTTTCTGTACACGCGTATACACATAGTATATACGGTTACCCCCTCCTAGCTTAGTTAATCATATAATGAGTAAAAATGCCTACCTACATATATTCAACACATATTCTTCTACTGATCTAAATCCACCATCTAGCTGATGAAACTCTGTAAAACTTGTGCCGAACATTTGACCTCGAAACAGCTTCTCGGTCGTGCGGTGTCCATCTCGTTCCAACGCTTTCCAGCTATAAACAAGATGGTCGAAGTTGCTAAGTTGATATGGTCAACCGATTGCACTTTCATGAAATCTCCTAATATGTTACGTATATGCAAGCGACGTATGCCTTGGCAGTATTCCAATAGTTGCCTTCTGGATATTTTGGGAGTAATCTGGGCAATCGTGAAACTTTCAGCAAGCGCTTATCGTACAACCGTTAAAGGATAAAACGTGAGGCCCTTCCAATTGAGTCCGATATAAAAAGGTTACGTCAATTTAATCAGCAGACGTGTACTAAACGTCAAAGTAGATCCAACGCATCAACATCACCTTATTGTTCTGCTCCTGATGGAATTCTCATTCCTTCAGGTGATTTTTTCAACTCGAACAGTAAAATCCTTTTTCACGTTCACAATAGCGGTACCTTTTGCAGATAGACGTCATCATCTGCATATAGGCGTTCTAGATCTCATTTTTTCTAGTTCGCTCCAGAATCTTCCAGAATTCAAAAAGGGAAATAACGATATCAGTATTAGTGTTTCACAATTACAACCCTGAGTTGCTCATTCCAAAAGCAGACCCTGTCTATATTATTCCCGGCATATCACAAAGACAAACAAACGGTTCAGGTTAGATCTCACTGTCCTACACGGTAATTTCAATGATAACATCTATTTCTCGGTTATGACCATTTTCACTGGAACAGTTCCAGTCCTATCTTACGATGATTAACAGAGAGTCCCCACTACCATGTTTAGCCAGCAGTATCGATCGGAGAGTAAATTATGAGGGTCAATAGGTAGTGATGTCTCGCAGGTTCATCGAATGTCGAGGCGCTAGCATGAGGAGCCCAAATCCCTGAAACTGTGGGCCAATACAACTTCAACGAGTTGGAACGTCCTACTCGAGTAGACACGAAAACATTTTCAACAAATTGTTTCCATTTATCGACCCTGGAGGGTACGACAGGATCATCGTAGACGTCAAAATCATCGCTTTCTGCACCCTAGCCATTAGGAAGTATTATTTCGTCTTGATTTGTTTATAATAGTTACGACATTTATTTTAGAACACCATTTTGCCCATTACGAGGCTTCGGTTTCCCTACCCTCATTCATGTCTTCCTCTAAGTTATCTACCTAAAAGGGATGTGAAACCTGGATAGAAATGAATAAATCTTGTTCTTATATTTTTTGAAATATAGGTCAGTGGAAATGTGCTTGCGAGTCTTCCTTATGAACGTACTGCCCTAATTGCCGAGCATGCCCCTTCATTCAATTATGCTACCCTTTATCCTCACTATACGTGCTCCCGACCAGAGGTGATGTAGTGGGAAGTGGCGNGCGGACCACGGTTCGGAACCCGGATCGGTACTCGTCCAGAACAAACGAGCCTTACTTCCCTACGGTGTCTATTAATCGATACCAGACTATTCTGGGCGGAGTCATTGAATAGGATACGTACGCAGTCAAACGGCTACTACCATCTGAGATGAGGACAGGACGAGCTGTATCCGGAAAACTATTAGGTGTGTGCATTAATTTCCGCCGCCAAATTCGAAGGGTTGTTGTGCAAACCATGTTAGAGGTTTACCGGTGAAACCTGTCATATCCTGTGAAATAGAGCACTGGGTACCTATTTAAAGGCAGGCAGATCAGTTTTCCCCAGAATCCCGTTGCTCTCGACTGATTGTTCATGGAGCGTGATAAATAGTTTTTCCGAGGGGCCCTTCTCCTGCTGTTTGATTTCAAGAAAACTGCCAGTGAAGCCCACCGGATGCTTTTCGACACTTATGGAGAACAAGCGCCATCTGAACGAACCTGCAGAGAATGGTTTCAACGTTTTAGAAGGAGATTTCGACTTGAAAGACAGGGAACGTCCAGGCCAACCGAAGAAGTTTGAAGATTCGCAGCTGCAAGCATTGTTGGATGAAGATCCAGCCCAGACTCAAAAGAGCTAGCACTGGAGCTGAGCGTCAACCATGCGACCATTTCCAGACGCTTGCACGAAATGGGAAAGATAAGAAAGCTGGGAAAATGGGTCCCTCACCAGCTGTCAGAAAAACAGCTCGAAGCACGCGTGACGGCGTGCAGAAAAAACCTCGAAGACCACAAGAGGACAAACTTTCTTTACCGGATTGTAACTGGGGATGAAAAATGGATCTATTACGATAACCCAAAACGGAAAGCAGCCTATGTGGATCCAAGCCAACCAACGAGTTCGCAACCAAAGCAGGATGTCCACTGCCAAAAAGTGATGCTGTGTATTTGGTGGGATCAAAAGGGTATTGTGTACTATGAGCTGCTGAACCCAAACGAAACCGTTACTGCTGACCGCTACGAACGCCAACTTGACAAATTAACAAATGCTCTCACCCAAAAGCGGCCGTTAATCGCAAGCAAACATCATAAGGTGCTGTTCCACCACGACAATGCCAGACCCCATGTTGCAAAAAATGTCCTTAAAAAAATTGCAGATTTTGGATGGGATCAGCTAGGCCAGCCCGCATACTCACCGGATCTTGCCCCTTCTGATTACCACTTATTCCGGTCCATGCAAGTCAGTTTGGCAGATATACGCTTCCGGAATGCCGAAGAAGTGCGGAAATGGGTGGATGACTGGATTGCCTCAGAAGATGAAGACTTTTTTAGACGCGGAATCAATAAGCTACCAGAAAGGTGGCAAGAGGTTGTAGCTAACGATGGACAATACATTGGTTAAGGTAAACTTCGTTTTGATTTTGTTATAAATACGTTTTTGCACGCAAAAAACGGCGGAAATTAATGCACACACCTAATAGATTGATCGACGCCAAATGCTTCACTTCTTTCTATACTACCGTTTGCAAAAAAAAAAACTAACAGAGGAAATGAATGACAGGTAATTAGCCATCATCATAAAATGACAACTTTCACGCAACGCTATCAATCACAGATCAAGGATAGACGTCGCATCGCATCATCACTTATTACGTTCTCTCTGGTATGCCTTCGATTCGTACTGAGCACGATTTGCTAGCATTCACCTGATGGTGAGTACTTCTGAGATTAACTTGGTGACTCAATACAGGATTTGATAGCTTCCGTCCTCTCTGGGAGCCATCCCATTGTCGCCCTATGTAATGCCATTTTTACTTTCGAAAATTCGTGAACTTACATCTGCTTGAGGTAGGTGGAACTGTGATTCTTATAATGGCTCTCTTCGCGGATAAAATGATGTAATACAAAGCTTCAAGAAAAAAAATGAATCATAGACGAATCGACAGAACTTTCGTTTTGATGTTTTCTGACTCATGAAAGCAGAAAATTCTTATCAAATTATGCTTTCTGCTACTGATCAACACGATTGATTTTACAAATTGGTGGGGCGTGTCGACCCCCGTAGACTGGAACTTTATAAATAGCTCTAGAGAGCGGTACGACGGTGGTCACCTTCCGTCATCGGCTACTTTTTCTTGAGAAGATGCTTTTCCTTATCATTGCTGTGTCGTCACTCCTAGCCTTCATAAGGTACCTTGAACTTATTCTTCAAAAAGCGTTGTGCTAAAAAAAGTATCTCAGGCAAATGCTCTTCTGCTAGCTTTCCAAAATGCCCTCAAGACTTTTCAAGGTTTTCTTTGAATTCATTAAAGTCTTGCGTCAGCTGAGAAGGTGGGACAGTAACAGTATCAACAAGTGGAGCGATTCACATATGACCTCGAGAGCAACTTCCGGGATAGGTTACTTCCTGGGCTTTAGAATCTTTTCACTATCACTCACTGGCTTTAGATTTGGTTGGGAAGAAAAAGTGCTTCTTTTACTTTGCTCCTTCCCCCCACCCTTCCCATCCCGCAGTCATCGTGTGTCTCTTGTAAGTTTTCGAAAGCTGCCGTCTTCCTACGTGGGGGTCGAATGAAAAGAACTTCCCACAGAGAACCTATCACTCAGACCGAGCAGTTGGTTTTGATAGGTTCTTTCAACCACAATCCATCACTGCAGAACAAGCGCAAATTATAATAATAATCTAAAATCATCCGTCCTTATTTGTTTCAGTTTGTGTACCATTTTTTAAATGGACAGGCTTCAGTGTGTTTTGACTGTGCCTCTCCAGTTGAAAACAACTTCGTCAGTAGAATCGCCTTCATTTGCTATCATAGCTACAAAGCGGGAAGTACACTTGGGTTCGGCCGTTCAACTGATACCCTTTAGAATCATAAAAGAAAGCTGCAAATAACTAATAATCAAAAGGAAAACGCTGGTAAAGTTGAAGCATTTGCACGTGAATAGAATTTTCATCTGTGAACTGTTCAGAGAGGAATTCGAAGTTCAGGGTAGAGTAGCAAAATAGCCCCTTAAAGAAATTTGTGTCACTGGGAGACCCCGCAGTGAAATCAGCTGCAAACACTGATATCGTTCATGAATTTTTTGTCTAATTATTGCTATATTCTGAAGAACAGAAAAGTGAAGTCAAAAAAGTAGGTGAAGACGTTTTTTGGTTCAAAAGAATTACTTACAGCTATTATTACTGGCAACTCAATTACTGGAAGCGGCGGGGGATTCCTGGTCCACCAGGAATGATTTTTCTGGGGAACATGTATGAGCTGACAGATGTATCTAAACCAGTCGGGTTGGTCCTGCGAGAGTGGACCAAAGTAAGTATGAGTACTCTTACTAGCCTATTTGATTTCATAACAGATTTGGTAAAATGTTGTCTCAGACTTACGGCAAAGTCTATGGTATTCAAGAGGGATTGCGACGGACGATTGTAATCAGCGATGTTGAGATGATTCGCGAACTTTTCATTAAAAAGTTCGACTATTTCTACGGTCGAAAGGTAAATACATGCTCACTAGTTCTTTTGATATTTCTATGTCTAATCGAAAAAGCTGCTGCTGTTGTTGTCTTGTAAAATTTAATAATCATTCGGTGCGTACGAGTTTGCGACTGAAATGTTCAGAGTAACATCATTGGAGGTGATGTGGAGAAAGATTCTCGAGTTCATGTCTTTGAAGCACAAGGTGTACGATGGAAACGCCTCAGAGCAATCTCTAGCCCTGCTTTTTCCTCGGGCTCTTTGAAAAAGGTGGGTTGACTCACAAAATGAAGAAAACGGTTCAATGTACTGCAAAATTGGTTTAAAGGGTACCGAAGCGGCATAAGTTGAAAGCTGCTTATGGGACCCGCCATTCACTCGTAACCGATTTCGGTTTAAAACTATTGGATATTTCAGAATTAGTTTGACAACTATTGGGTTGTAACATAAGTTCGCAGAGTTTTTTCACAAAGATTTATCCAAACCAAAAAACAATAATTATAATAATAAATTAACCAGTGATGTCCTCCGTTACTGTTCGCGACCTCTTCCCATCTCTCGACCAATTTGTTGATGGCGATTCGCCGAAAATCGGTCGTTGTGGTGTTGAAGAATTTGTAGAGCCAGTTTTTAAGGTTTTTAAGGTCCCCTTCGTCATCGAAGGTAACACCCCTCATTGGGTTTAACATAGAGCGGAAAAGGTGTTAGGTGCAGGTGCAAGATCCGGAGAGTGCGCTGGATGCTGAAGAACCCCTCAATCAAGCTCTTGGAGTGCTGTTTTGACGACTTGAGCAATATGGGGCCTGGTGTTGTCGTGGAGCAAGATGACTTGACCACCTCTATAAGGTCTTTTCAGCCGCATAGCCTCACTTACACTGTTCAGCTGGGTAATGTAGACCTCCTTGTTGACAGTGGCGCTTCGTTCGAGCAGTTTCCCAGTGCACCGTGCCTACCCAGTCCCACCAAACGCAGATCATGACCTTTTTTTGGGTGAAGATCTTGCTTGACTCTCGACTTTGGAGCCTTCCCTGGGGCAACCCACACCTTTCAGTAGACACACCTAAGACACCTTTCCCATACACACTGCATATGTCCCGAGCGGTTTCGGCTGCTTTTTTGAATTCGACGAGAAGGATAGAAAAGCAGATGTCGAAAATGCTAAATTTTTCGTCTTGGATATTCCATTTCTAAGCCCGAAAAAAGACGAAAAATTTAATTATCCTAAAAACGAATAAAACAGTTTTGTAGAGGAGAAAGAGCTCTTTCAAATGAATGTATACACTTTGCTAAAAAACAAAATAACTCGTTGTAAAATAACTCTAACGCAAAACTCTACGAACTTATGTTACAACCCAATAGAACACCAAGGGAGCCACATACTCAACTATTAGCTTGTTAGCTTGATCACCACTGGCAGAAGNGCCAAATACTTTTGAGCGCTACTGTATATTGAAGACATACATTTTTCAGCAATCTCTACATTACTTTTACTCTTCAGATCCGCCCAACTGTGGAAAGCTCAGTGCTTGCCCTGATGGAATTCTTTGAAAAAGAAGCCGACAACAAAGCTTTTGACATTTTTCCGTGAGTCGATGGAATCACTTGAACAAAACGATAGGACCTACTTATGAAACATTAATTCCAGTTTTTATAAGGAGTTTACAATGGATGTGATTAGTCGCATCGCAATGGGTCAACAAGGTTCTCAGATGTTCAAGGACAAGAGGAAAGTGGCTACTATGGACTCCGTGAGTGTACTTTTTAATGAGAAATTCTTTCAATTTGCTCACCTCCAGTGCATTAATATTGAAAATAGATGGATTTTTTCGTGAAGTTTTAGAACGATATGTTCAGAGGGCTAAAGGGATTTCAAAGATGTAGAGGTAGCTTTATTTTGCAGATATTTCGACGAAGTTTACGGCAACCGATATTCTATTTGGCAAGCGCGGTCCCATCGTTACGACGACCTTTGAGGTTTGGTAGATTGAAAATATTGTGCCGTCTATTGATGACCGTGGGCACCTCAGTGTTTATGTTTACACGTGACACTGCGGTGCCCACTATGTTTGCTCATCGTGTTGCTGGTATAGAGGCACCCTTTGGTTTAATACCGAATTCACCAGAACAGATCTCAAGGAATCTTGGCATAGTTCGGACAGAGATTTGTATGAATATTTACATTCCAGAAGCTAGATAATTGTTGACGTAGTGATGAAGACTTTCATAAAACTGACGTTGATTTTGCTTGGTACTCCCACGAGGTTATTACATCAATTCACAACTATGCCGAGGTTCTGGAAGCAAGGAGACTTTTACAGAACAATTGGTAAATCCAGGGCATGAAAAATCGGCCTTAACTTCGTGACAACCCAGCACAATGTGCGAAAGCACCCCACACCACATCCCTACCCCACGCCTAGTTTTCACTGGAGCCTCGAAGAAAGAAGCAGCCTTCTTACAATTAGACCGGAGGATCGTTAGGTTACGTAATACTCCACCCATCGTGTATCTAGATATGGAAAGGCAGGGCAGCGTTCGATTGTTGTATTAGTATGAAACTGACTGTACAGTTTCTAGCAAGTTCTTCATGGCCATTGCTCCCCTGCGGAAGAGCAAAATTCCTGCACTTTTCAATGTTATTTACAAAACTATCGACGAAAGAATTGAGAAGAGGGTAAATCTTTTTGGCGGCGATTTCGCAATTTCGTATTATTGTCTGATAACCCTTTCCAGGCCCAAGATGCCGCGAAAGGTGTTGTATCACAAGAGCACACTGACTTCATAGACCTCTTTCTGGACGCGAGAGCTGAACAGGACTTCGACAATAACGCCGAGTTTTCAAAATTAGGAGTTCAGGTATTTTGGCATCGAATGGATTTAAACAACCATCTAAACACTTAAGGACATTTCAGCATGAAACCGATCTGGACTCGAGAAAACGGTTCAAGCTCCTTTAACCTTGAGTCGACTAGCTGCTCATGAGGTTTTATCGCTAGGGATCTGAATCTAGCCCCACAATAGACCAACACGCCCACCCTTGTGGTTGGAAATGGGAGAAATGATTCTTCTCCTTTCGTCTGCGATTCCTTTTTCAGCAGTCGCAAGTTCACAGATCGGGTGAGGCGTCTAAACCCCTGCTCTCCGAGCGCCTTCTATGCCCCGATTGGTTTCCCATCGAGACCATATGCCTTTCGGACCTTTCTCTTTCCTATTGCTTGACGAACTTTATCCTCTTTCTAGAAGGTGATAGGGCCAGCCTTGCCTCTAACTGAGAGCCGCTTTGACTCCTCAATTATTTGTTCAGGAACATATCGAAGTATTGTTCCCACGTACGCTTGTCTTCACAAGACTTTCTTAGAATCGCACCTTCCTTTCCTTCACAGCTCTTACTACTCTGATGTCCTGTCTGGCCTGATACCACGCTTTGGCCACAATGGAGACAGAGTTTTCGAGGGGACCGAAAACACATACCTCATTTCGGTTGCCTCCTTCTCCGTTGTAGTTAACTATAACACCTTCCCCTTAACTCTGGCCATCGCTCTTTTTTGACGTTCATCCATTCGTTATTCAACTTGGATGTTTATTAGTTTCGTGAGATCATCAACTTTTCGAGACCTTCTGAAAAGATAAGTCGTTTGGATGTCAGTTCGAACTAATTACCTTAACGGATGTCATTAACCCCTTAGTAGCCGTCGTCCACAGAGCTCAGGCAGGTGATGCGGGACAATTCCAGTCGACGTCCCACTTTATTATCAATTCCTTTAGGGACTTTAGACCATGTGCTCGTGACTGGATTTCTAGGTGCTTATTTAAGAAATCTTTCCATATCCATACTTATTCCTTTCTGGTGATTGCTTTAGAAATAACCCACATTGCAGGTCACGAAACATTTAACGCGGGAAGAAATTGCTGCTCAGTGCTTCGTATTTCTCCTAGCGGGCTTCGACACTACAGCCACCTCATTAGCGTTCGTCACCTATCTGTTGGCGAAGAATCCTCGAGTTCAGCAGATTCTACAAGAAGAGATTGATCAGCATTGCAACAGTGATAGTGAGGTTCGTTAAAAATTTCGTGTTCAGTGTTCGTGCGTTCGTTTGGGAGAAAATTAGTTAGGTTGCAGAATTGCAGAATAATTTTGGTGTTCGAAAAGTTCCATAAATGAATTCGGATATTTCCAGACAATCAACTATGAGACTCTCTCAAGTATGAAGTATCTCGACTCCGTCATGAAGGAATCCTTGCGTATCTATCCCCTAGCAGTCATGTGAGTATGAAAGCCTCAAGACCAGCAGTTATGAGACCACCCATGCACACCCAATACAATTTTTCCAGAGCTAACTCACGTCGCTGTATGAAATCGACCACGCTTGGACCGATTAGGGTTGAAGAGGGTGAATTCGTGATAGCCGATACCATGTCTCTCCACTTTGATCGCGATCTTTGGGGAGACGACGCAGAGGAATTCAGACCTGAAAGGTGTCGCGATATAATGCTTAACTTTATCATTTTTCAGCCCGTAAGTTTCCGGCTGAGGTGGGAATCTTGCAATTGTGAGCATCAACGACTAGATAGACCTGTTAGTTATGTGTGATTACATTCATAAGCACCAGAATCCTTATGAGCGCTGTTGGTGGTGTGATCTTGAAATGGTACAGGCATCAATGGAAAATGTGCAGATTGAGAAAGTCTGTAAGGGAGACAATAGCTTGGCACGAAGGATCTCGAGAAAGAGTGCAGAAATGAATGGAGAGAATCCTGAGCAATTTTGTATCTACCAGTACCTTCGAATCAGGAACTGGGAACTGGAAACGACCATTCGTTTTAGTCTCACAAAAGGACTGCCAAGCACCCATCATTTCATTGATCGATATATTCAAATCTTTAAGCTTTGTTTTTCAATCTCCAGCCTTCAAAAATTCTTTCATGGGATGGGATGAAAGAAATGCGCAGTAGGATCGAAGGGAGAGTCAGCTTCCTCTAGTAAAGCTGCAAAGGATGATCTTGCTGTCTTCTTTGGAGAGTCCTGATGGTCCTTCAAACTGCAGTCATACTCACCAACATAATCAAGCGCGAAAAGGAAGGTTCGGGTCCCCAAACACTGATTTATTTTTCAGTCGTGTAGGTTATTGCTTGTACTTGAATCCCTACCGAAACAGAAATTCTGGTATCTGATACAATATCTTAGACGCGGGATTGCCAATCACCATAAACGACAAGAGTTTGATAAACGCTTGTTCAGATGGACTGAATCTACGGAAAGGTCGTCAGCGGCGTTCCTGTCTTTTGGTCTTGGTCCAAGGCAGTGTATAGGAATGCGACTAGCTCATATGGAGGAAAAGCTAGTACTCGCTCATCTACTCAGGCGGTATGACATCATTGCAACAAACGATACCGAGGTAATTCTGCTTTTTGTTCTTCTCAGGTTTTCAGTGGTTGTTTTTGCCGGTTATAAATCGTCCTCGATCTCCCTTGCAACTAGTGTATTGAACTAACTACTTTTGAAACTGATGGCTTTTTTTGTTCCACGATTGATCTCGAGATTGTAACGCACTGAAACTCCCACCCGCCAATTGCACCCATAAAACCAGTTTGAAAAGTTCGNCGATACCGAGGTAATTCTGCTTTTTGTTCTTCTCAGGTTTTCAGTGGTTGTTTTTGCCGGTTATAAATCGTCCTCGATCTCCCTTGCAACTAGTGTAGTGAACTAATTACCTTTGAAACTGATGACTTTTTTTGTTCCACGATTGATCTCGAGATTGTAACGCACTGAAACTTCCACCCGCCAATTGCACCCATAAAACCAGTTTGAAAAGTTCGACTCATTTGGTGAGTTGAGCACATGCCGACGACGAGTAGCGTATAGAATAGAAGAGAGCTCGCAGCTAATCATGATGAGCTCGAAGCCTCTTAAGACCGAGACTCCATTTTCATCCAAAGAGATCTGAATTGGAGTACGTACTGAAGTTTGGGCTTTGAAGCGGACCCTCCGACGGCGCAGGATTAACGCTAGGGTGAAGAAGACTGAAAGTAGGGCTTCTCCAGGTAGTTACAGCTCCTACTTTCAATTCTAACTGCAGCTTAGGTGGAGTGCAGAGTCAAATTCCTGCTAAACTGACCGATAGCGGTTCAGTCATGTCATAGACATCGTATGTTATGGAATGTCACAACGAAGTGAGCGTCATGACGGTGCTGGAAGAAGTCACAATTTTTTGATAATTATGTCGGAAATTCCTAGCCAACTCTGAACTACGTTAAACTTACAGCATGTGTCACGGAATCAATACTTTAGAGTACTTCCATTCAGCTCCATCATCATTTTTACTAACATCCGAGACATCTTATATGTCTCCGAAGGTCACAAATAATCTCATTTCAGAAAGAACTGAAAATCAGAGGTTCGTTCACATTCGCTCCAGAAACTGTTACCGTCCAGCTACAACGAAGAGAACACCTATGAACGGCATAATCATGTGTATAGTATGTAATATGCTATCTCTAGAAAATATTTACAGAAATGAGTCCTTCTAATTCATGATAACTTGTTTTGGTGAATGCTCCTCGCGAGGGTTACGATATTATTTAGGATGACTACTGTGTATTTGACGTGGATAAATTTGCTCACCTCTTTTCCCAGATTCTCTCGATCTCCATACATAATGTTTCTCAATATTAGCAACGACGATGTAATAAAAATAATAATGCCTCGATTGCTGAAGAAAATTACGATTGGCAAAGTAATTCCATTATGTTTCCACGTGTTCACTTTTCGTCCACGCAGGAGTTAATATTTTTTTTAACTAGTGATCTTTCTCCTTTTAGACAGCCTGTCATGGTCCCGAGATTAAAGCATCCATTCCCGAGCGATCTTGCCGTATAGAACACTCCCTTAGGTTTATGAAAATGTGGCTCATTCAGATCTTGGTTTGAATATGAGATTTTCTGCTCGAACAGAAATTTAGGAGACAAACACTGAAGGGAGAGAGCGACAGGAAGGTTACAGTGATCAAAACTGGTAAAGAGCCTCAGAAGGTAGGACATATTTAGTGACCACGCCAGCCGCTCTGTGAAGTGGTGACAGTTACGGGTTTAGTTTCGTAGGTAGACAGCCAATAGGTACAGGGCTCTTAAGGTAAGCTGCAAAGGTTAATTGCTCTACTGAAACTGGCACCTCTTAGTAAGCGACATAATGTTCGAATTATCAAACAGCAGCATGTCGAATTTGTTGTAAATGGAAGGACATTGGTTACAGAAGTTGATTACAGCTACAGAAGGTGATAAGTAACCAGAGAGGATGAGAGCTACCGATTTGTTGTGTGCTTCTCCTTTTCCTAAAAAAAA